AAGGCAAATAAATCTACAGACACCCCCTAGATGCTAGTATCTCTTGAAGGAAGACATTAGTGAATGGTAACAAAAAAACTCCAACCCAATCATCTAGGGGTCATTTGCCATAATTATGTGGGACATACCAATAAACAATTGTTTCAATCTGCCCAGTTACATTAAATATTATCTGATGTCTGTAGATCCCACCAATCAAAAAAGAAGTCTCTGGGCTAAAGCCTTAATTTAGGAATGTGACAAATTTGGAGGACTGGATGACTGAAAAGTCTTTGTTCCGGACATCAAAAGGTAACAAGACATTTGACTCTCCAAAAGTGTGTCTTTCTCATGGACACACTTCCAAATAAATGCACCATCATCCAATTAAATTCACAGCATCTCTATTGTTTGAAGTTGCTAATTTCACACAAACCTTTGGAAAGGACTGGAATCTCTGGCTCCTGGACATGGAGAGTCCAAGCAGAGCATTGGGGATGGTTTATGGTCAATTACTTCATACTTGTAGTTTAAAAGTGTAGACTAGAATAGCTACGGGCTATATTCTATGTTACTGACTTTCAGTTGCCTAAAGATAGATGTTCTAATTTGGATTATTATATACAAATGTCCCTAAGTGAAGATATTTTTCATGTTTTCCAAAACAGCTCACATTGAACCCTAATACTGGCTTATCAGTGAATGTGTAAATGAGTTGTACTTTTAAAGTAATGCCCAGTAGAAAGCCTTTTAGGAAAGATTTGGGTAGGCTTCCATTTTTAACCTCCCTCTGAACATGCTAGTTACTTGACTGTCAAATTGATGCTCCACTATTTCTTTCCATGAACCTTGGAAGGCATTATTATTATTATTATACAGGATTTATATATTATTATTATTATTATTATACAGGATTTATATATTATTATTATTATTATACAGGATTTATATATTATTATTATACAGGATTTATATATTATTATTATTATACAGGATTTATATATTATTATTATAATACAGGATTTTTATATATTATTATTATTATACAGGATTTATATATATATTATTATTATTATACAGGATTTATATATTATTATTATTATTATACAGGATTTATATATTATTATTATACAGGATTTATATATTATTATTATTACTATACAGGATTTATATATTATTATTATACAGGATTTATATATTATTATTATTATTATACAGGATTTTATATATTATTATTATACAGGATTTATATAGCACCAACAGTTTGCTCAGCGCTTTACAATATAACAGGAGACAATACAGCAATAATACAGTTCAATACAAAAGGGATAGGAGAGCCCTGATCCTGGGAGCTTACAATCTAGGAGGGAGGGGCTAGTGGTACAAAAGGTAGTAACTGTGGGGGATGGACTGGTAGGAAGAGTAGAAGATTCCATTATTAGCTGAGGGCAGGTTAGGCTTTCCTGAAGAGATGGGTTTTCAGAGATTGCCTAAAAGTGAGCAGAGTAGGCGACAGATAATGGTAGGAGGGGTAGAGAGTTCCAGATAATGGGAGAAGCTCTAGAGAAGCTCTGGAGAAGTCCTGGAGACGAGCATGGGAGAAGGAGACAAGGGAGCTAAAGAGTAGGAGGTCTTGTGAGGAGTGGAGAGTACTGTTTGGGTGGTATTTGGAATATCCATTTGTGTCTTTTGATCCAGCTAATTTTAGATTAGATTAGATTAGGAAATATTACACATTTCAAGGTTGTGGCAACAATTTTGGAATGACTCTTTTTTTGTTCCAGCATGACTGTGCCCCCTGTACACAAAGCCAGCTCCTTTTAGACATAGCCACCATAGAGCTCTGACTTCATCTCTATTGAAGACCTTTGCAATTATTTGGAATGCCTATTGCAGGCCAGGTCTTCTTATCCAACACCAGCACTTGACTTCACAAATGTTCCTTTGGCTAAGGCTAGGTTCATTCCTACTGTCGCAAATACCCACAGCCACATCCCGTTTTTCTTGCAAGATGCAGAATGAATAGCACCCAGGGGCGGACTGACAACTCATGGGGCCCCCGGGCAATAGGGGATCATGGGGCCCCTGCGTCCTTGCCCAAACTCAAAAAAACCTGTGAAAAAGGTATCTCATGGGGCCCCCTACTGACCCCAGGCCCTCGGGCAGTGCCCGAGTTTCCAAATGGTCAGTCCGCCCCTGATAGCACCCCCACACATCTCATCTCGCAGGCAGATGCATTTTGGAAACAGTGCATGAAATGCAGGTAAATGAATGGGCTGCCCTGCCCACGCAAAACAAAGGCTGCACCATCTACACTAGTGTGAACAAGGCATTAATGGGCACATATTCCCTTAGACACATTCCAAAGGCCTGGTTCACACCAATGTAGTTTGCTTTTGATCCATTTTTTTGCAATGCTTTTTGTATTTCACTTTGCTTTTTAGACACGCTTTTTTTGCCGCATTTTTACTGTGTTTTGCGTTTTTTTTCAGCTTTTTTTGGGTTTTTTTTTGTTAAAGGGGAAATGTTTTTGCTGCAGGGCAGAATAAAAATGCAAAACGCTGCAAAAAACGCAGCAAAAATGCATTATGAGAGTTTCAGCAGTGTCTCCATTGAACGCTATTGTAGAAAAAATGCTGCTTTTTTGCATTGAAAAAAGCCCCTGACCCTTTCCATAAACACAAGAACAGATAGATGTGAACATGTTCAAAAACCATGCTAAATGGACCATAGTGCGATTCTGCAAAAAGCAATAAAAAACCCATTGGTGTGAACCAGGCCTAAAGCCTCATTAGTAGAGTGGAAAGTATTAGAGCAGCAAAGTGGGGGGGGGGGGAAATCTATATTAATGCCCATGTTTTGGAAAGGAATGTTCAATAAGCTCACATAGAAGTCATAGTCACATGACCACACTTATTTGGTTTTAATGCATACCTCCCAACTTTTTGAGATGGGAATGAGGGACACCAATTAGCAAATGTATGCAGACAAAGGCCCCTGCCACGCCCCTTTAAAAGACAATTAGGCAAAAAAAAATTAGTTTCACCTTCAAGTGCTTTTTTTTATCCCTACTATTCCTTTATACTGGCTTATGGAGTTTACAAATGCAACAATTTAGAAATTGGATGAAAGGTTTAGCTCTGTGAAACACTTTTTGAAAGATAAATAGTGCATTTTATATACAACTATAAAGATCAGATCAAAATGAGGGACAAATGAGGAGGAAAGAGGGGCAGAGGGACTTTGATCCAAATCAGGGACAGTCCAGCAAAATCAGGGACAGTTGGGAGTAGGGGCGGACTGACCATTTGGAAACTCGGGCACCGCCCGAGGGCCTAGGGTCAGTAAAGGGCCCCATGAGATGCCCCTGGTACCTTTTTCATAGGCTTTTTTGAGTTTGGGCAAGGACACAGGGGCTCCATGATCTCCTATTGCCCGGGGGGGCCCCATGAGTTGTCAGTCCCCTGGTTGGGAGGTATATTAATGTGTACCACTCTCTATCCTAAACTTGTAGGTGCCAAATTAGAGCTGTAAACAACCTAAACTCTCCTCAACACCCCTTTAGACTCACTGTGACCGGGAACTGTTGAGCTGAGCTTGTCCCACAGCCTTGTGTAAAGGTAACAAGGACCCTCCAAGGATGGAAAAGATGTCACCTCTGAATGGTAATGGGGCAATCAAAAGGAAGTGCAAGCACAGGAAAGACACACTTTAGAGACAAACCTGCCCTGTTGCCTTTTGGTGCCTCCAAAGAAATTGTAAAGTCCCCAGATCACCAGACACTACCCCGGGCGAACTGACAACTCATGGGGCCCCCGAGCAATAGGAGATCATAGGGCCCCTGTGTCCTTGCCCAAACTCAAAAAAGCCTATGCAAAAGGTACCAGGGCATCTCAGGGGCCCCCTACTGACCCCGGGCCCTCGGCAGTGCCCGAGTTTCCAAATGGTCAGTCCGCCCCTGGACACTACTAACCATGGAATAAATGCCTTTTTATGCACTTAGTGTAGAAAGGTTTAAAAATTTTACTATTTAAAACAATCCTCTTTGGACCCCCTATGTAGATGGATCAGTAGTTTTCAGCATAGTACGTTGGATCCTGGACTTTTGTGGACTTTTATGGCACTGTCACTTAGCTCCATGATTTTCTGGAAGGATTTTGTTCTCGCTAATTGTTGACATGAAAATGATTACATTCAGATGTAGAGTTATAAGATTAGGTTAAAGCAGAACTCAAATTCAAATTCAAAATCACCCCGTAGTGAGGCAAGGGTTCAACACATGAGAAACTTACTAGCATACCGAAAGAGAAGCAACATCAGTCTGAAATACCTGGCATCCATGGTTATATATAAAAACAGGTCCAACCATGATCATTGATCTAACGCTGAAAACTATGCGGAACATCCTCCTTGATGACTTACTGCTTCTTAAGCAGGCCATAGACGTGGGGAAAATCGGCTGTTTTTTTTTTTTTCTCTAATAAAAATCGTAAATCGGTCGTTCAGACGGCCGACGTTGCCACTAATTAAAAAAAAAAAAGTTGGCGGGTTTTAGTCCCGTCTACGGCCGTCAATTAATATAATAGCGGTGTCCCTGCATAGAGACCCGCTATTATATTTGACAGAAGAAATAGATTATGCAGAAGCAGAAGACAAACAACATTGTATCTATTTGTATCTGAATAGAAACATCTGTATTCGAAATGCATACAAATAGATACAATGTTGCAACTTTCTTCTTCTCCGTCTTCTTCTGCAAAAGCTATTTCATCTCCTCTTTTCTTCTATTCTTCTTCTTGATATTCTATTTCTTCTTCTCCTGCAAAATCTATTTCTTCTATTTATTCTTTTTCTTCATAGTCAAATTATTGTCAAATCGGCCAGAAGAACAACCGATTTGACCATAAATTACCGCGAAAATCGACCGATCTAACAAATCGTCCCAGGATTTTCCAGCTTGGACGATTTTCAAAATCTCTTAAAATTAAGAAAAACGGCTGACATTTTCGGATCACGGAAAGAGCCGAAGATGTCGGCTCGGTCATGTGATCAGCTGTGTCCAATCACAGCTGATCACATGTAAACACGGAAATGCTGGTTATTGGCATTTCTCTCCTCACGAGCTGTCACGTTGACAGAGGAGAGGAGAGCCGGTAATCGGCTTTCCATGGAGGGGACATGTACACTGCTCATTAGGGCACTGATGATCAGTGTGCCCTGATGATCAGTGTGGCCCCAGAAGTGCCACCTGTCAGTGCTCATCAGTGCCTCGTGCTAGTGCCCATCAGTGCCACATCAATGCCACATATCAGTGCATGCCAGTGCACATCAATGCCACATATCAGTGCCCATCTGAGCTGCCTTTCAATGTCACCCATCAGTGCCAGTCATGGCCACCTATCGCTGCCAATCAGTGGCCACCCACCTATCAGTGCCAGTCAGTGTCGCCTATCAGTGCCAGTCAGTGCCGCCTATCAGTGCCAGTCAGTGCCACCTATCAGTGCCAGTCAGTGCTGCCTAGCAGTGCCAGTCAGTGCCACCTATCAGTGCCAGTCAGTGCTGCCTATCAGTGCCGCCTATCAGTGCCATGTATCAGTGTCATGTATCAGTGCTGCCTTTCAGTGCCCATCAGTGATGCCTGTCAATGCCCATCAGTGCAACCTACCAGTGCCTCCTCATCAGTGTCCATCAGTGCCACCTATCAGTGCCCATCAGTGCAGCCTATCAGTGCCCATCACTGCAGCCTCATTAGCGCACATCAGTGAAGGAGAAAAATCACTTATTTACAAAATTGTATACCAAAAACTAAGAAAAAAACGGGGTTTTTTTTCAAAATATTTTCAGTGGTTTTTTGTTTGTTTAAGAAAAAAAATAAAAATCCCAGAGGTGATTAAATACCACCAAAATAAAGCTATATCTGCCTCAAAAAATGATAAAAAGTTCATATGGGTACAGTGTTGCATGACCGCGCAATTGTCATTCAAAGTGTGACAGCGCTGAAAGCTGGAAATTGGCCTGGACAGGAAGGGGGTATAAGTGCCCTGTAGGCGAGGGGTTAAAGTCCCATTTTTCTTCATCTTCTGGCTTATCCAGGATTAAGTATGTTCCGTGTCCTGTGTGCTCTGCAATGTCCTCTCAATAATGTTACCAGGAAGTCTATTAGCAGGAATGTCTGCCCCTTATGTTGTGGAGAAAAAAAGAAGGGGAGACGTTGTGAAGTCCTAGCACTCTTCTTGCTCTAGTTTGATGATGTTCTCATATATACTGTAGATGCAGTACATTGACTGAATATTTGTCACCTTAGAACAGAAACCATGGTACTGGCAGGATCACCTGAAAATAATAGTCCTAAAAAAAATTATACAGTAACCAAGGAGTAGTAAGCTGCAACATATTACATTTGGATTTAGATATGCTTTGACCATTGGATGTAGACATTAGTAAATGAATGGGTATGCATACATCAATCATATCGTGTACCCCTGTACAAATCATTAGCAACACCTCATCTGGAATATGCAGTTCAGTTTTTGGCACCCAATTCACAAAAAAGAACATTGGGGAACTAGAGAAAGTACAGAGAAGGGCAACCAAACTGATAAGAGGCATGGAGGAGATCAGTAATGAGGAAGATTAGAGGAACTGAATTTATTCTCTACTGAGAAAGAGGAGATTAAGAGGGGGATATGATCTCCATGTATAATACATAAGGGGGGATATGATCTCCATGTATAATACATAAGGGGGATATGATCTCCATGTAAGATACATAAGGGGGATGATATATCACCATGTATAATACATAAGGGGGGATATGATCTCCATGTAAAATACATAAGGGGGATATGATCTCCATGTAATAATACATAAGGGGGGATATGATCGCCATGAATAATACATAAGGGGGATATGATCTCCATGAATAATCCATAAGGGGGATATTGAATCTCCATGTATAATACATAAGGGAGGGATATGATCTCCATGTATAAATACATAAAGGGGGAGATATGATCTCCCATGAATAATACATAAGGGGGATATGAGCTCACCATGATATTTTATACATAAGGGGGGATATGAATCTCCATGTATACATACATCGGACGGGGGGATGTTAATCACCATGTGTAATAACATAAGGGGGATAAGATCACCATGTATAATACATAAGGGGGTATATGATCTTCCATGTATAATACAATAAGGGGGGATAATGAATCCACCATATATCATACATAAGGGGGATATGATCTCCATGTATAATACATAAGAGGGAATATGATCTCTATGTATAATAATAAGGGGGGATATTAAAACTCCAATGTATAATACATAAGGGGATGGATGCTCTATGTATAATACATAAGGGGGATAAGATCTCCATGTATAATACATAAGGGGGATATGATCTCCCTGTATAATACATAAGGGGGTATGATCCCATGTATAATAAAAAGGGGGGATATGTCTCCTGATAAAAAATAAGGGGGGATATATTCCATGTTAATACAAAAGGGGGATTTATCTCCATGTTAATACAAAAAGGGGGGATATGTTCCATGTAAAATACATAAGGGGGATATGATTCCATGTATAATACATAAGGGGGGATATGATCCCCATGTATAATACATAAGGGGGATAGATCTCCATTTTAAAATACATAAGGGGGATTGCCCCATGTATAATACAAAAGGGGGGATTGATCCCCATGTTAATACAAAAGGGGGGATATGATTCATGTTAATACAAAAGGGGGGGATATGTTCCATGAAAATCATAAGGGGGGATATGATCTCCATGTAAATACATAAGGGGGGTATGATCCCCTGTTTAAAATAAGGGGGATATACCCCATTATAATACAAAAGGGGGGTTTGATTCCATGTAAAATAAAAAGGGGGGGATATGATCTCCATGTATAAACATGGGGGGGATAGATCTCCTGTATAATACAAAAGGGGGGATTGATTATGTATAATAATAAGGGGGGATATGATCTATGAAATCAAAAAGGGGGGGATTTATCCCATGTATAATACATAAGGGGGATATGATCTCTGTAAAAAACAAAAGGGGGGATATTCTCCATGTTAATAATAAGGGGGTTTTGATCTCCTGTAAAATAAAAAGGGGGGAATGATTCCTGTAAAATACACAGTGGTTCATATGTGAATCGGTGTGGAGCTTTTCCCCCCTGAGGTCATCTCAGAGGACAAGGGGCGCCTTTATGTCTGGAGGAAAAAAAAATTTGATCCCCAAACATGGAAAGGTTTCTTCACAGCAAGAAAGTAAAAATGGGGAATAGATCCCTTTTAGGTTGGGTTTTGACCAGCTCATGGATTGCTTTAAAATAGTCCTGGGTTATTCTTAGATACACAGAATTAACTGGATATAACATTTATAGGAAAAATTGATCCAGGGGGGGGTATTTATTGCCCCCTCGGGGATCAGGGAAAGGGTTTTTTTTAAGGAGCAAAAATTTGGGTCTGTTTGTGGGTTTCTTTTTCCCTTCCCCTGGATCAAGGTGGGATGGTTATAACTTTTGTTTTGTTTGTTTGGGGTTAACTGGTGGACTTTTTTCTTTTTTTTAGCCCGACTATGTGTACCCCAAACCGCTTATATTGGTCTTTTGGTCCGTAAGGTGATTGTTTAGGGAGTGAGGAGCAGATAACCTGGGTTTTTTAATCTTGCAACCCCCATTCTCTTGACAAAAGTTATTCAGGGCTGTCCCAAAAAATATTTGATTTCCCCCCAGAAAAGGGAAAATTGGTATGAAAAATTAATGTTACCCAGGTGTTTGTTTTTGGTGCATCGCC